CTCAGGCAATCCACTCATCTCAGCCTCCCAAAGGCGCGGGATTATAGGCTGAGCCACCGAATCCGGCTGATCTACTTTCTGAATAAATTTTCTCTAGCCTAAAAAAAATAATGTGAGTTCTCTGTCACAAGAAATGTTTAAGTAACACTAGTCAACAAACTAAAGGTGATATTTTTATATTGATTGGTATGACCCTTAAAATTCCCTTAAGCTATTTGACTTCATGTGCCATCTCAAGTTATTTGGGACAAAAAATGTGTATATTCCACCAAATGTCTTATAAAATAAATCGAGAATATTCTTACCAGATATACCAGTCACTAAGGTGTTGATCATAATTTACACACCTGATAATAAAGGAAGAGTAGTTACTGATGGAACGCTCAATGGCCAAAGCATATTTCTTTTGGACAATATAATTTGTACTGATCACACTTGTTTCCCCAGAGCAATCAACTGCTTATTCCCATACCAACCTCCCTCCTCCCACTCAACCTATTTAAGCAAATGTTTACTATATGCCTACTCCATTCAAGGCACTGAGAATACAGGCAACCACAAAACTGTTAGAAAGGCATATAAAAAGATAATTGCACTATAATAGTCTTGATTCTAGAATTACAAATATGGTCATACATTGAGAAGTCAAGGACTAACTCTTCAGGGCAACATGTCATAGGAATTAGGCAGCTAACCATTCCACTACTCTGTTTATTCAGACATCTAGAGTCCTGTAAAACCCAAGTTGTCCAGGAGTTTATAACATCTGTTAACCTTTAATATCTTGGTATGGAATAGCAGACATTTCCATTCGTTGTACTCTGATTGGACAATTAGTGAGGAAAGAAGTTAAGCAAGGGGGAAAATGAATGAAGGCTGCCACACGTATCATTTTCCAAGGAGTCAGAAATTAATTCCTTCAGTCAGGATGGTCAAATCATTTGTGTATCTAGCCACAACTCAATCATTCCTGAGGTAGGTTTAAAAAGATCACACAAAAACACAGTTCTCAGCTTGATTTTCAGGAGATTTGACTTGCCAAGTGTAGAGACATATGTGTTATTTATTTTAGAGTCCCTCACTTTGTATATTTGCTAATGGGCTTTTTTCATAGCTCAATATGTGGGCCACTGTTAAGGTATTCTGAGCTTGAACGGTGAAAATCTGTTCATCACAGCCGGATATGCTTCTGTGATGGAGTTATACTTAATCATGTCTTCTACAGCCCTTGTTAAAATAACACTCAGTACTTTGCAGCTTGAAAGCATTCATAAATGTCAGAAATTTATTCCTTCTTGTATCCCTGAGGAAAGTGTGTCAGGCTCATCATCAGACTATTCAGAAATGACTCAACACATGTGAGATGTCACCTTAAAATTTTTTACCCCTAATATTTTAGACAAAACCAATCACTCAGACTATATGCTTCTATTTTTATGTTTGTTTGTTTGCTCTTTTTTTTTTCTTTTTAGCACAAAGCGGGCATTAAAATATTAAAAATGTAGTATTCCAGGACATTCTCTTGGTGTCCTGGCCCAATAAAAGACCAGAAGATTCTTGTTTTTGAATCTTGACATCTAAGTTCATGGCCAGGAGTGTGGATTATTTCACCTCTCTCCTTTTGCTTCTCTTTTTTCCATTTAAAAATAGCCCACAAGCCAGGCTCGGTGGCTCAGCCTATAATCCCGCGCCTTTGGGAGGCTGAGGTGAGTGGATTGCCTGAGCCCGCGGGTTCAAGACCCACCTGGGCAGCGAGACCTCATCTCTACAATAAATCAAAAAATCAGCTGGGCGTGGTAGCACATGCCTGTAATTCCGGCTACTTGGAAGACTGAGGCAGAAGGATTGCTGGAGCCCAGCAGGTCGAGGCTGTGGTGGCCAGAAGCAGCCACTGCACTCTAGTCTGGGTGACAGAGTGAGACTCCAATGCAAAAAAATAAAATAAAATAGCCCACATACTTATATTTAAAGTCAATTATAAGTATTAGCTATCTCATTTTAATCACATGAAATATCTTTTGTATCTATTTGGGTCTTTAATTTTTTTCAGCAGTGTTTTGTAGTTTTCAGTGTACAAGTTTGTCACCTCCTTGATTGAATTTATTCCTAAGTATTTTATTCTTTAAAAAATTTGTATTTTATTATAGATATGCGGGGTACAAGTAAGGGTTAAATACATAAGTAGGCTGCGTGCAGATGAAGTTTGGGCTTCTGGACCTCACTTTCCTTGGTAGTAGGCCAGGTGCCCTTTGTGTTGTCATGTGCTACCCCACTTTCTACCCTACTTCTTTCCCTTAGCAGTGCCCAGCAACTGCCGATCTCTTACTTGTGGTAGTGTGACTACAGTTCAGCTCTCACTTATGAGGGAGAACATGCAGTATTCAGTTCTTTGTTTGTGTGACATATCACTTAGTATGATGGTGTCCAACTCCATCCAATTTGATGCAAATTCCATGATTTTGATCTTCCTTACGGCTATGTAATATTCCATCATGTATATGTACCACATTTTCTTTATCCAGTCCACTTTCACTGGCAGCAGGGTTGGTTCCATATTTTTGCTATTGTGAATAGTGTAGCAATAAACATGTGAATGCAGGTGTCTTTTTTGTAGAACAATTTATGTTCCTTCAAGTATATTCCCAGGAGACGGATTGCAGGATCATACAGAAGGTCAATTATTATTTCTTTTAAAAATTTCCATGCTGCTTTCCAAAAAGATTGAACTTGCTTACATCTGCACCAACAGTGTAGAAGCATTCCCTTTTCCCTGCACCCATATCAGCGTCTGTTATTTTTGACTTATTAATGATAGCCGTACTTACCAGAGTTAGGTGGTATCTCTGTAGTTTTGATTTGCACTTCTCTGCTGACTAGTGAGGATGAGCAATTTTTTCATGTGTCTGTTGGCTGCTTGTATGTCTATTTTTTGAGAAGTGTCTGTTCATGTCCTTTGCCCTCTTTTTAATGGGGATTCACTTCATTTACGTTCCTTGTAGATCCTGTATATTAAGCCTTTGTCAGATGTATAATTTGCAAATATTTTCCCCATTCTGTGGACTGTCTCTTTACTCTCTTGATGGCTTATTTCACTGTACAAATCTTTTCAGTTTAATGAGGTACCACTAGTCTAGTTTAAAGAGACTGGTATTGGTACATAGGCACATAGAACAATGGAACACAACAGAGATTCCAGAGGCAAAAATATAGTCTCTTAACCAATTCATCTTTAACAAAGCCACCAATAACAACAACTAGGGAAAGGAGGCCATATTTAGCAAATGTTGATGGGAAAACTGACCACAAGCAGAAAAATGTAACTGGACCCATACCTATCACCCCCATATACAAAAATCAACTCAAAAAGGACCTAAATGTAAAACCTTAAACTATAAAAATCATAGAAAAACACATAATAAATACCATTATGAACATCAGAGTAGGCAACAGATTCTTGACCAAGACCTCAAAAGTGAATATCATTTTGTTTCTTAAATCTAATTTTTGAGCCACTCAGTATTCATTCCTGTGCTAACAATTATCCAAGCAGACTTTTTTCGTTTTCGCTTTATGAGCCTGTGCACCCTCTGGTGGAGGTTCTGGTAAGTAATAAAATGGCTGGAAACAGTTAGCTGGAGAAATGCAGTGATCATGTAATTTCAGAATTGTAGGCACCTTTTGCATCATTTACTTCACATTTAGGATTTTACATACTGGACAACTGAGACTCAGGATGGAGGAAAAATTTTTTAAAAAGCACAACAAAACTGAAGTCACCAGCTGATCAGAGAACTTAAGCTAGAATATGGGTCTTCTGACTCCATGTGCTTCCCTCCCTCCCTCACCATCACTTCCATTTATTTCTCAAATTCAATTTTTAAGCAGAAACTTTTTGAATTCTTCAGAGCATGTGACAGTGTTCCAATGGCTCAAATATTAAATGCAAGATCTTCAGTGCCGAAAAAGTTCATTTTTGGAAATGAGGTTATTTGTAAAGACAATATATTAACTCATGCAGATCGTTTCTCCCAAAAGGCTACTCCCTCCGTGGTCTGCCTACCTACGTTGTCTTGTGGTCATTTGTCAGTGCTCACAGTTTCCCTCCCCTCTCCTACTCCACTCAGGTCTTATAGCTGTTTTTGTAAAAGTCTTGGTTGAATAGGATCCCACTCAGTGACACTAAAGAAACTCGTGCCTTTCCATTTTAAGAATGCCTCTTGTAATTAGGTCATAGTAGATTTTTTTTTTAAAAAAAGAAAATAAGGTTATTACTCAGGATTTGGTCAAATTGGGATGATGATGCTAAACAGAAAAAAAAGAATGTCAGAGAGAAGTGAGATCTGACTGTAATGATGAAGGAAGACTTTTGAAATGATAGGAATGTTCTAGAAGTAGTTGTGGAAGAAGATCATTTTTGTCTCTACCAGAAAAGCTGGTGCCTTTTTTAATTTGGATGTTGTGGAGGTGATTCCTGCTCTACATGGGTGGTTAGCTGAGTTGATCTTCATTATTCTTTTCCATGCTGTGAATATGTGGAGTTCAGATTAACTATAAATTCATTAATTTGATACATCCAAGAAGAAATCTGCAGAGTTGCTCCATTGGATTCTTTGTTACAATCACCCAGCCTTTTCTAGGCCAAGCACCCTTCTAAACCATGTGTATAACTTCATGCGAAATAACATGCTTTCAAACTGACTGAAGTAAAATGTAGGGTCACACTATTGTCCTTTTTTACAATTGGGAAAACAGTCATAGAGAGGCAAAAAAATGCACAAGATACCACAGCTGGAAATGGCAGAGGCAGGTTTTAAACCTAGATGGTCTGGCTGTAGAGTTCCTGTCTCTTACCATGATGTAAAACTGTGACTGGGAATAGTAAAACCAGCTCTAGTCTCATATTGTTATGTGGACTGTCATCTATATGCCTCCAATATTCCGTGTTTCAAAATTATTAAAGAAAATGCTAAAAATACAAAACAACAACAACAACAAAAAAGTGTAGTAATGAAAGCCTGGAGAAGATCAGACAAAGAGAATAGGTCAAGAGTGAGATCAGTTTGTAAATTGAATGTTGTGAATCCCATATATAAAATTTGAGCTGAACTCCAGATCTGGCTTAAGCTTTCTAGCAGTTAATAGGATGAGAGTGAGAACTGGTTATGTGGTGTCCTCTAATGTTAATAAAACAAACAGAATTACTCACCAGCTGTACAACTATTCCTGGTATGGAAACCAGAGAAAAATTCAAACTACGAGAACTCATAAAGAGAGCAGTGAAAACAATAGGAACAATGCTTTTCACAGTACTCCTAACATAAATGCAATAGCAAATTTCATGTTTTTTCTTTAAAAAAAATTATTCTTCAGCATAGACCAAAACCAATAAGACTACAGTGTATAGAGGAAGGGATGGGAATCAAATATTACTACACAGAAGCAAACCAGTCATAAAGTCTTATCGAAGACTGAATGAACTACATATCCCTCAGATATTTCACCAAATATATAGTTAATTAACTGTTGGATATATGACATAAATTTGTGGTTAAAATTCTGGGTTTGGGAATCAGTCCTAAGTCTGAATCCAAGTTCTGGCTCTTAACTTGCTTGCCTACTCTTGAGCAAACTATTCAATGTCACCAAGCCAAGTAAGACATAGTATATCATTACAAAATCTACTAATGAATTTGATTTACAGACTCTTTTATATCTGCAGTCATATTTATTTTTGCAAGTCAATCTTTTTATGTACATACATGCACATCAGTGTACTTGATTATTTATGGAAAGGTAAATGAATTAGAGGTATAATGAGGGGAGCTCAGTCATATACAATAAATTACTTATAGTATTTAAATTTATACAAAGACAACACAGCAATTCATTGTTCATACTATAAATGCAGTAGCTTTTATAAAAATAAAATGAGTATATTAGAGCTGAAAAACAATAGTCTTGTGTTTCAAAACACATTTAAATAAGAATAATTATTGATTTATTTTTTAAAATAGAAATTGTATGCAAATTACTCGGCACAATTCTTGGAACATAAAAGTTGATTAATGTTTTTATTTCTGGCTAATGAGGATCTTCCCCACCATGATCTCCAGTGAGGCAAGCCATTTTCCACATTTTTCCTTTTCTACTCCCTTGCATCTAATCCAAGTCTCCCTTTTCTGTGTCTATTTTGCATGTAAACTTAGGGCAAGTTACTGTCCTTTTATGTTTCCATTTCTAATAGACATTTGGAGTAAATCATCCTTATGGACCGCTTCCCCTGTAGTCTACCATGTTTGTGTTACTCTCTGGTAGCAGTGCTGGTTAAGTATAAATATGCTCGCTTGGCTGGGTGGCATAATTTAACAGAAGATAATGTCTCAAATTAAAGAAGTGATTCTAAGCTGAAAATCTCTTGAATAAGTATAGGTCAAGAACAAGTATTTTGTTCCTGGGGGGAATTTCTACTCTCAGAAAAAAATATGCCTTTCATTATAGACTCATCCAACTAGCATTGTCTTGTGACAGCACAAGAAATCTTTTATTGTGTCTATCTTCAGTACATTTATTTGTCTTATACTACCCCCTTGCATGCCCAGCCACTCTCTTGCCTTCTTTGTCTTTATTTTCTGCTAACTTGCATCTTATTTAAGGCAGTCTCCTATATTTACTCAAAACAATGGTATTAAATGACAGTAAACATTACTGACACTCAGATGCAAAATGATATAACCAAAAAACGGTCATACTCAAACACCAGTTGAAATTCTGCTATTAATTTTCTCTCTCTTTCTCTCTCTCTGAGCATCAATTTTTTTAAGTGAAAAGGAGACCAGTAGCCTCAGTGACTTGAAAGTCAGTATAAAATTTCCTTAATACCATATTTTCTTGTCATGGTGATTAACGAGTTAGATTCATCATTTAAAATCCTTTCCGATGACTAATTTCTTTATTCTACTATTCTGGTCAAAAGCAGAAGATGAGGAGGCAAGATGATGGTAGCTATGAAAGCCAGAGTAAGGTGAGCATAGAAACAATCAAAAACAAAACTCTGTTATGTCATAAACTTCATAAGACAGAGCAAATAGACAGATCAAAAAATAATGTGAAGAAATGGCAAAACGCTGAAGAGTGGTACAAATGTAAAGAGTAGATTGTCAACAATGAAACAGTGATCCACCAGAAACGCAAATAATTCCAGGGCCAAGAAAATATCACACCTAGAATGGTCTCTTTCTCTAGATCCAGTGCCCAAGAGACCTTGGGTTTGAGGATGCCAGGAAATAATAACTGAAAATTGCTGGCTTGCAGTAAGGGCTGCATTCAGGAGGAGATAGTGCTCAGCAAAGATGATTTTCTGACACTTGCACTAAGTCACAGTGCATTACAGTTATCATTAATCATCAGCAGTATTATTAATGGCACCCTCTCCCATTGCCTGAATAGAATTCTGAGAACCATTATATCTACAGCACAAAAAAGTGAGAAAGTTAAGTCAGTTATTCACAAAATAAATATCAAAAGCACTTTGAAATACACAAGAATACAGGTTAGAATTTTGGTTAATTTGCTTATATGTGAAACCTAGTTCTTCAGAAAACTGCCTCCCATCATCTCTGTGACTTATGAGTGTGGATGCATTCGTCAAGGACATCATGATTCTTTCATAAATTAAAAATATCGAGAAATCAAGTACACCCCTTATTTATTTAACAAAACTCATCTTAATAAAAATTATCTTTCCTGTTTTCAGAAAAATTGGGCTATCTACATTTAAAAACTATTTTTTTTCTTACATGATTCTAATAATCATCAGAAACTCATCTGGGGTTTTTCAAATAACTTGAGCCTTTTTATTCTTTTTATTTTTAAAATGCTAAATAAAAACATGAAGCTTTTTGCAATTTACTTACATTTCATTTTCTTCACATGGTAAGTCCGAGAGCACCAACTGAAACATATGTTTAGAACAATAAAATCCAAACATCTCATCAGTCTAATCCTTTAATACAAGCAGTGCCTAGAGACAATGTGGGTTTATATCATTTCGTTTGCTTTTTTTAATTAAAAGCTCTGTAGCAGAGTTTATTGTTGGTGCACAGAATTTTAATTGAAAAAAAAATCTCTGGATAGATTATTAAGCTCAGCAGTGACAGAAAATATATATTGTGAACCAGATTCCTATCCTATATATCACTATAGTTGGATTTCACAACACTTTTTATTTTTTTCATAGGCAAATTTTGCTTGCTCTAAAGACCTTTTGTGCACCTTGCATTTTTTGTTTTCACATTTTAGCTAAAGGACAGAGGTTCATTATTTGTGAGTGTTGTTTTCATGCAAAGAAACCAGGTTCCAAATATGTACTGGAAAACAGAAGTCAATCCTATTAGCATTAATGGGTGCTAAATATATGCCTAAAGAAGTGACCTTAACCTGCTGTAAAGCTAAGGATCATTTAAGGTCACATGATATTCCCGTTGAGATTTACAATCTTCTCTTTATCAAAGAAGTTGGAAAAAGTAATCACCTTGACTGCTTTGTTTGAAAAGACCCAGAACATAAACATTCTAAAACTATTATATTAGTTATCTGTGTTGAACCCCATAGATTACAACATCTTATACCCACAATCACAAGGGGAAAATGTACTTCTTTCTGAAGATTTTATTTGTTTGTGTGTTTGTTTGTTTGCTTTACTATTTGAACTGAGACTCCTTCGTTGTACAATGAAGAAATCTTTCATTGTTATTTACAAGATAGCTCTAAAAATTGGATTGATGAGGTCAGTTGAAGAATTTATTTTCCTGGACTGTAACATGCAAATAAATCACAAGTAAGAAGTTACAAAATGTAAAGTGATAGATTTGGGATATTTTGTGTGAGACATGTCTTTTTCCCTCTTAATCTCAAATGCATCTTCTTCAGCACCTCGTATTTACTCCACCAAGTTTATCTGGGCAAAGAGATTTGTGGAGTTGCAGATGGAGCCATAAATTGGACAGCAGAGAGCATGGTAATGAACAATTTATAAGCACAGAATATGGGTTGCATTCTTTTTGCTAGAATGCTACAAATAAATTTGCATACTAACTGAGAGGAAAATGAACATTCACATTTTGTCCATAAAGTAAGTTCACTTATGAGTCGATGGAATCATTTGGGATTTAGCTTAAGAGATAAACAAATAAAGACAGCATTTCACTTTTAAGTCACCTCCTAGTCTTTTCTGTGTGTTGTTGTAGCCTCGCAGGAGTACAGGGTGTTATGTTATTAGCATCACACTGGCAATGCATTAGCTGTCAGACTTCCAGGTTACTATGAAGTGGCAAGCAAAATAATCTTAATATAGTTTAGATCTAAATCTTTCAGATACATTGTATTCAAGTGACACAGATAGGGGAGATACAGGGATTAATCAGAAAGGGATGCTGAAGCTGGAGAATCAAAATAAGTCTTAAAATGGTTCTTCATACACCAGTCAGCATTGAAAAACTGTCAAGCATCAAGTGTGGTTACAGGCAACAGTAAACATGCCTAAAATTAATCCAGCCATAGCATTTAGCTCTGTGTCAATAGCACTTTTGAATTAAAAAAAAAAGTATTTACAGCATAGCAAAGTTAAGCAAAGGTTAAATTTGCATCACATTATTGCAATAGCAATAGAACTAATTAAGAAGAAATAAGACTAATGTCACGGACATTTTCTTTTCTGTATCTCTGACCAATGAATACAATAAATTATAAGATGCTGGTAACACTTTCTTGAAAAGAAATATTTTAAATATAGAAATAGTTAAGCTATCCAATGAACAAATCTATAGCAAATCAAATTCTCAGAGTACCTCTGAAAATCTTTTCCCAGAAAGAGAGCTGGTTACCTGGAATAGGGGAAAACACAAAATTCCTGTTGTTGAGATCACAGATGCGACACTGAAGGGCCTGGATCTTGACATACTTAAACAACAATCTGCTCAGAATAGTGGCTTGATGATTGTTTATCTCCCTCTTTTTCTGAAACTGTTAGCTTCTCTATAAGTTATGCTTCCTACAGGGCATGCATTTACGATGGCTCCTTGTGACTAGCTGAATGCATGTTGGGGGAAGGAATGTTGGGTGCATGCTCACAGGTAATAAGAGTCCAAGGAATTTAAGTTTAAGGTCAGAACCTAGGTACTGTTTGTCAAAGCCTTTAAAAGTAGGGACTGTAAATGCTGACTTGCAAAGCTAGCTGGCTGCTTAAATACCTTTCAACATTCAAGTGCATGCTTTATTCTAGGGACTTTCTGCTTTTATTATTTTAATAGCATTTTCTGTGTGGAACTTTATTCAGTTTTCTTTTCTTTGTTGATCCCTAGCACTCTTCCTTTTCCTACATATCATTTTCAATTCCAGGTCTAACCCAAACTTAAGCATAAGCATAAAGCTTTCTCTGTTTCATAATGATGATACCCCTCTTTTAAACAGGATATATATCAATGTTTATTTTAATAAAACAATTATAATACCAATACTGACCAAAAAAATGCAAGAATATTCAGGAAAATTCTGAAAAAGAACAAATAAGAGGCACTAAACTGTTGTATATTAAGAGACCTTTGACTATGGTAATTTACAAAAACGGGTACTGATGCATGTAAACAGTAAGACAAGTATAGCACAATAGAGAGTTTGGAAACAGACATAAATAAACAGAGATTTATTTAAGCTGCCATTTTAAGTCAGTAGGGAAAAGATGAATAGGGAACGGTGAAGAACTGAATAATTATGTGGAAAGAAGGTAAAAAATGATTTCTAAAATGCTTAACCTCAGTCATAGTTAGGTAAGTGTATTTTACAAATACAATCAAATTGGCGAGTTTAAAAAACAGATAGTATAGTGAGGAAGGATAGATATGAAAAAAAAATTCTCTTATATATGGTTGGAAAAATTATACAGCTTCCATGAAAGACAGTTAGGCAATACATATCAATATAAAAATAAATATATTCTGGCCAATAATTCCTCTTGTAAGATACAAGAATGTATTCTACAGACACTCCTACACGTGGCACAAATAATCACATGCAATCATTTAGCTAACGCATTGTTAGTATTAACAAATTATTGGAAATAGTAAATACCCATCAAAATGTGACTGGTTAAACACAAAATGGTTATATTCATTCAACAAAATACCAGAAAGCTGCTTAAAAAGGTGATGCCGATGTGAAATATCTAAGAGTTATCATTAACTAAGAGGAACAAAAAGTATAAAACACTATATACACCTCCTTATGCAAAAACAAACAAACAAAAAAGAAATGCTATCTCATGGAAAAACAGGAACGTATAGTTATAGTGTTTTCTCTATATATAAAACCCATGTATACATACTTACATATGCATAGAATGTTTTGACATGAAATTGTTAACAGTGGTTGTCTCTGAAAAAGTGAAATAGGAGACTAAGGAAGGGAAATTTACTTTTTATTGTTAATTTCTTGTTTGTTTGATATATATTGTTTGATATTTTTTACTAATGTCTACATGTCTTCTAATCACTTTATACAAACATATATTTCTGAGGGCCAATTTTGAAGTCAATCATCTGGAATTCAGAACAAGCATATTTTAGTTCAAGCCCCTGTGTAGAGCATAGAACCAATTCAAATTACAATAGACAAACATGTTTATGATCATATCGACTGCACTAGAAACAGGTTAGCAGTGTTAGTTACCTAAACTACTGCACAGAGTTAGTCATTAAGGTACATGGATTAGTTAAGCTTCATCTGGACGGCTAAGCAGGCTATGTGGTGGCCATGGTCTGTTTAGTATGCAGCCACAGTCACAGTCATGGATTTCAAAGCAGAGGAAGGGCTTGGTGCCAATGCCAATAGAAGACAAGTAAACCAAGCCTACAGTATTATTTTGTCCCTAAGACACCCTCCATTTTGAGTGTCTCTGAAGCCTGTAATTAAACAGAATGAAAAATAGGCTTTTCACTGGTGAACTTATTTATCAGGCAGTCAGAAGCCTGACTTCCGTCAGTGGAGTCAATGATCTTAAGAATTTCTGGGAAAGGAAGGAAAGGCAAGATGACGAGAAAAGAGAAACATTGGAAACAAGGGTAGCATGTTTGGTTTTGCTTTAGAAAGTGCTGCAATGACCAACCAGATACATGGACTAAATAATTCTTATTAAAAAGTGCACAATTCTGTAGAAGGTGACTGACAAGAAGTTCGGCAGCTGGATAGAGATGGAATCTATAATGATACTGAAAACACCACTACTATATTTGGTACTAAAATAAAAATTTATATTCATTACTACCTGTCTTTTTCCAGATTGCCATTTATCTGCTTTCTTCTGTGACTGTCCCACATCACCCCTATCTCATGATAGACTCTGCCACAGGCAATAATTTTTCTAATGCATTTCCTTCCTAGCATCATGACAATCTGATGGTCTTAGAAAACAAAATCTGACCATGAATGCCATTTTATTTGCATAATTTTAAAAATACATATTCAAAATTAAGAATAATTTATTTTGAGATAATTTGAGGCTTACATACAGTTTTAAGAACGAATACAGAGATTCCATATGCCCTTTCTTCACTAGCATCCTGCATAAAAATTGTGGGATAGTATCACAACCAGAAACTTGACACAAATGCAATCTACTACCTATATGATTTAAAAAAAAATCTTGTAGGGACATAATAGTCGTACATATTTATGGGGTATGTGTGACACTTTGTCATTTAAAATTTGTAGTTAATTCTGCTTTCCCAATTACATGCTTGTATGCATGTACTTGTAATAGTACCTTGTCGTTACTAGAAAATTAAGATCAAGATGAATACTGCTATTCATAGCAACATGATCTCTTGGGTCAATAAAGTTGTAGGGACTTATGTTTGAACGTAAGAGTGGAAGGAAGCAAAATTCCTGAAAAAAATCAAGAAGAAAGAGGACATCTATTCTGAGGGCATATAAGATTACACAAGTAGATTCACTGAGTCCTTGGAGTTTATCATCGTCTTACACCCTCATCATTCATTGTTGTAGCAAGAGAATGGGCACATATATATTCAACTGCACAGTGCTGGTCATTCACCCAACTATTTATTTTTTAACTAGGAAGAATTAAATCCTGTAGAAATGGATGGAGCTCAAGAAGTATGAAAACTATCCTTTGGATTCAGAGTTTGGCAGACATTCAAATTCCCTGAAACTCTGAAGTCATATCAATATTTGTCCTTAAAGGTCATGGCATGCAGCTGTTTAAAAGGATCTAGGCCCAGCATTCAAGGGATTTAGTAAGAATAAATAAAAGGTATGAGTAGAAGTGGGCATACATAAAGGAAGTTCCAAAGAACAAGCAAGGAAGTATCAGTTACTCTCTTTATAAAAGTCAAAGAGCAGGGTAAGGTTCTAGGAATCAGAAGACCTTGGTCACCACTAGCCAACAGTGTAACAATAAAAGTTATTAACTCTAAAAACTGCATTTTCTAAAATGATGATAATAATATTGACTTATCTCCTTCAGATAATTTCATTTTTAAAATTGAAAGTATCATCATGAAATCAGACTTTGCTACACAGATAAAAGGAATTGATTACTGGAGCATGAAATAAAATAACATATAATAAAATAAAATAGAGAATTCCAAAATAAGTTCAGAAGTCCATGAACACTATGGGAGCTGGGGTAATGGCAGAAGGACTTCAAACAAGGCAGCATGCTGTCTTAGACTCCGTTTTCTTCATTTGCTTCTTCGCCCCAGTGAGAGAAAATATTGATCATATTACTAAATCAATAGTCAATTTTCAGTCACCTTACTTGAAATAATGGACAGCATTTGACACAGTTAATTACTTCTTGCTCCTTTGACACAGTTAATTACTTCTTGCTCCTTTAAACACTTCCTTCACCTAGTTTTCACAATACATATCCTGATTTGCCTCCCAGTTTACTGACCACCTCTTTTCATCTCTCTAGACTTGACATGGTAGGGGTTCCCTAAGACTTAGTGCTTAGACCTTTTTCTTTTTTATATGTGTTCACTATCTCAAGCATCTCACTCCGTTTCACAGATTATCATCTGTAAAAAAATATGACAGATTATCATCTGTAAAAATATATGACAACCTCCAAGTATGTATCTTCAGTCTATATTTCTTCCTGAACTTATATAATTGCCATTTCCATATCACCATCTGGACTTTTACTAACAAACTTACCCCAAATCTAGCCTCTAATTTTTCCTATTTCTCCTCTTGCCTTTTTTTCCCCACAAATATTTCTTGTATTAGTAAATTAAAGTACTTTCCTTTTGGTTGTTGAGACCAAAAATCTTGTAAATATTTTTAAGTTCATTCTTTCACCTATTGTCTCCAATCTATCAGTAAATTCTGTAGTCTCAACATTCAAAATACATACCGACCTCCCATATGTTTCACTATTTTCAACAGAAACTTAGCTTTTCATCTAAATTACTCACCCACCACTATCAAATGTCACCAATTTATTGCAATAGCTTCTTAGCAGGCATTTCTGGTTTTTATTCTTGCTTACCAACAATATACCCTCAATACAGCAGTCAAAATGATGCTCTTGATCCGGTCACTTCATCACACAAAACTTATTTCCTTTAAAGTGAAAAAACAAAACAAAAACAAAATAAACAAACCAAAAATTTCTTACAATGTCTGATAAAGCTTCCCAAGGTCCGTTCTCTCTTTCCCTGTTGGCCTCACATCCTACTAGTCTCTCAACTTACTCTGTTCTAGGTACGCTGGCCTCCTTGCTTTCCTTGAACTTCCCAGGCATTCTCCAGCCTCAGGGGCTTTATATTTGGTCTTCCCTCTGTCTGAAATGCACCTCCTGCATTTTCCATAAGTCTTACCTTCTTACTTCCTTAGGCTCTTTGCTGAAATTCCACATTTTCAGCGAGGTTGTTCCTCA